CCATGCCTTAGTAAGGGCCCTGCATTATTTTTAATACAAATGTCACCTGTGGGATGAAGTGCCACATCTGCTGCATCAGGGGTATAAAAGTCATTTTGAAAAATAATACTTTTTTGGTGGGTGCTCTTACTTCTGTTTAAATACACAGTTATTTATTAAGTATATTAGTCATTTTAACCCATTAATGTCCAAAAGCTAAGTTTACTATAGTAAGGGAAAATGCCACAGAACTTGTTCGGATCAGTCTAAAAACTTACTTCTTACCCATTTAGCTTCATTAAGTTGTGCTCAGACAAGCAGCAAGAACATAAAGACCAAAGGAAATGTAAAATTTCAGACATAAATATTAGTGGGTTTAGAATTTAAAAAGCTATTCCAGTGGTCCATTATGATTTTCCGCGAAAACTTTGCTTTACTTTAGATGATGGATTTAAGTAATATTGGAGTCTGTATAAAGTGTACAGGTTCAGATTTAGTTCAGTGTTATTTATAACTGCTGGGGGCCCTTGTGGGTGCATTCCAGTCATTTATAAGTGGTATAAGTGTATAAGTGGAAGGACAAATAAACAAATTTTCACAAAAGTGTAATTTGTAGTACTGTAGTACTTAGGCGATCCTTTGCAGTTGATTACTGTCTGAGCTCTGAGACTCATAGACATGACCAGACTCTGGGTATCATCCTTGATGATGCTGTGCCAGGCCTGTAATGCAGTCAATTTCAGTTTCTGCATGTTTCGAATCTTTTTGCCTTCAGTGAGTGAAATGAATGCTAAATGAGCTTCAGGTCAATCAATCAATGACAGCCCTCTTCTATCAAACATCTTGTGTCTTCATTTTTCACTTAGACATTTTACACATAGAACTTTATTTTATCAAACACTTCTATTGTTGCAAGTTCAAACTGCCTCCACTACTCTCGTTGTTTAACTTCAGCCTATGCTGACTTTTTTCTAAAGCTTTTCACTGAACTCATCCTTTTGAAGTATCTCAGGAATTTTCTATCTGTTTATCATTTCCATGTGCTGTGATAGCTGAAGGAAGAGAAGTATTTTCTTTTATTTAGTATATACAGAATATACAATATACAGAATTACAAGTCAAAATGCTATTTCTGCCTAGCAGCTCTGATTCAACAAGACCTCTGTGTGGAACTCATGATGGGATTTAACAGAGGCCGTGCCTTAGGCTGTTTGAACAACTGAATTAGATGCTGACTTTGACAATGTCACTGAGGAGCTGCAAAAAAGGCTAAAAAAGGAAATATTGGAAAGTGGTTGACACCTGACAACTATGTAATAGTTGCCTCATGTTGCTATGTTGACCCTAGCTCATCAACAGCTCACATTTCATTTTGACTGGAGAGGCTCAGTTCAGGGTTTGGTGCACAGATTTCTCCCTCATAATGTGTGTTTATTACTCCAAACTTAATGCAGCCTTTTTCCTAACTGCCATAGTAATCTATTAAGTTAAGGGGAATTTCAACTTAAAAAAAATCTGCATGTTTCAATCATTGAGATGTAAAAGCCACTGGGCCTCATTCACCAATATCTTTCCAAGTTTTTCTTAAATTGTTCTTGAGAAAGGTTCTAAGAAAAAGCCGGTCAGATTCATGAGGTGTTCTTAAACCCTAGAATTGTTTGCACCTTAGTGCTCTTGAGTGTGTGTAGATTCTGTTCTTACCTAAGAACAAATCCCAAATAAGAAAACATTAGTAAATTTCAGAATCTTTGTGAAAAGTGTGTGAGTGGGTTTTATGAAGAAATTTCGGTAACACTTTCTATGAATGTCACGTTTGTAAGCATCTATGAACACATTTATAACATGTTATAATGCCTTCATTATAAACATGATTATAAACATTTATAAAAATGAATTACACTGAATTACACTTTATAGCCATGTTTATTATACATTATGGATTGTTAATATAATGCATTATAAGTAGTGTTGATAACATGTTATACTCTCAGTGCCAGAGAAGTTAGTCCCAGCTTGGAGACTGCAAAGTAAAGACAAATACCAAGCTAACAGTGGTGTACATTAACCTTCCCACACTGGGTAAAACACTGATGGCAGCACTAGTTTAAACTCTCACATTTGAAGCCTGTAAAGTGCTTTATTATGTATGTTTTAGTGTTTCAGTAAATCCTTCAGTAAATACTTCAACTTGCAGCCTCACTCTTAACACTGGAGGTGGCTTTAATACAGTATGCTTCACTTTACTTAGAGCGGACAAATACAACTTATGAGCTCTTATAATTTGTTATGAACAGTATTTATAATGTATTATGTTAACAATTCATAATGCATAATAAGCATGGCTATAACGTATAATGCATTTTTATAAATATTTATAGCCATGTTTATAATGCCTTATGAATGCATTATAACATGTTATGAATGTGTTTATAGATGCTTACAAAGGTGACATTCATAGAAAGTCTTACCGAAATTTCTTCTTAGGATTGGTAGGTGAGGCCTATTCAGAGTGGTTAGATGTGAAATGCTTCATTGTTGAGAAACTTACCAACTGAGACAATTTGACCATTGTATTACGCAGAAATTTTGATCAGTTGGTGAAATTCCCTTTTTTTGTGGCACACCTTTAAGTAAAAGTACAAAATGCATAAAATTGTAACATGTTCATATACTTTCGTTTCATCTTCTGGTTCTCACACCTGGTTCCAATGTCTCATCTGAGGTTCTTATGTAAGGAATGCTATAATATTCTTTTATAAGTGGGATACTGTAATATTCCTGTAGAGGCTGGAATGCTTAAGTCAGTCCAGTGTATTAAAACACACTTCATGTTTTGCCAATGTCTCTGATTGATTTATTCAGCTTTTTTAGCTTCGTAATGTGTAACTGATGGCCAGTAACACTTCTTTGCTCCCCATGTTCAGAGACAACTGTCTGTAGATGTAAATGTCCCACTTAGAATCAGCTCTAGTTAGTTCACACGTCATTTTACTTATGTGTAAAAGGGCTGTGATTCCTGTGGCTCGCCCAATTTAGATCTAAACAGCTTCAAATTAAAGTTAAAATTCTCCACTTTAACCTCAGTGGAGAATTACGACACTGTCCAGTTACTTACAGACTGCACTCTATGTTTGACTAAAGCAATTTACTTCTTATTCATATTGCCATTCGTTTCTAGTTTCATTACATTCCGTTGCCAACTGCGCTCTCATTGCTTTGCCATAGGTCTAATTTCTCTTTCAAAAATCTACCTTTGGGCAACAAGAGACAAAGAACTCATCAGTCAGATGCCTATGTACAGTGTAATTCTACTGATGGTTCCAAATAAAATAGGCTTTCCTTGCAATGCAGGCTTAAGGTTATTTTAACCATGTTAATGTAATGAGTATGATGAAGGCATTATTCTAACATCCTACATGATCCTACCAAACCACACCTGTTAGCTGGTGACATTAAAAAGAATGTATCACAAACTGAACCTCATTATGTACAGTGAACACATATATTTGTGATTTAAAAAAAGTTACAAAATATTAATACAGAGCATATATATATATATATAATATAGTACTTTGCCCCAGGTGTTCTGTCAGAGAACAGAAAGGATTTATGGAGAATATGTGGCCACCAGGGTACCATTACCCCAGATGTGAGGAAGTTGCAATAAGGAAAGATAACCACAAAGTGGAGCTCTTCCACTTCAGCTGGCATCAGTCAGGCATTATGTATCAGAAAGGTCTGAAGACCAGTGGCTGGGTATAAGAATAGTACTAGTGACACTGTAGAATATTTCCAACCCTTCGCTCTTAGCAAAAGAGTTTATACACTATGTATGTTTAAATGTTATTTAAAGAACCATATATAACCACATATATCTTAGCAAATCACCGGTGTTCAATCTTAGAGAAAGAAGCATTTAAATGTTTCTTTGAATTGTCATTAATCTATATACAGTTATGTGCGAAAGTGAGACACCACTCTTCATTTATTTAGTTTCCAGTTTAAACAGCCATTAAGTATAAGTTATTAATTTTTAGGATATTCAAATAAATAATCCTCTTGCATAGGGTCAAAGCAATGTCAAAGGAAAATAATTGAAAAAAGAGTTTCTCTTACTGAAGTTCAAAAATGATTAGATTATTTAGATTCCAAACAACCACGCAAAACCTGGTAGACCACCAAAACTGTCACCATCAGATGAACAGCACTTTAAGCTTTCGTCTTATAGCAGAAAACCAAGCAGTATTCTCGCTTTAGATCTGAAAAAATCCACTAGTGTTTCTGTTCATCATTCCACCTGGAAAACTAAATACTATGGGTCTGAAAAGATGTGTAGCTGTTAAGAAGCTGTTAATGAGGAAAGGAAACAGACAAAAAGGAAGAAAAATGTCACTAGAACACCCAAACTGGACATCTGAGATGTGGAGTGAGGTTTTATGCACATATGAGTCTAAACAAAGAAGCTGCTGGTGTTCTCAGAACAAGGGAGTGGTCACTCCAGAATCCAGACTTCAACTTCACTGAATGTGTTTGGGATTACTTGGATTGTAGACACAGAAAATGCAACCAACTGCTAAGACTGAACTTTGATGGTCAGGAAAAATATCCCAGCTGATTTCTTTGAAAAACTGAAAGTAAGTCTCCTTCAAGGATGGAACCTATAATAAAGCCAAAGTGAATAATTTGTGCCATTTAGAATGGAAATTAAATAAATTAAAGGTGATCTCTGAGTTTTGCACAATACTGTATAACCCAAAGAAAACTTGAGCCCTTTGTAAGGGTGCATATGCAGTTTTTCTCATATTGTAATATATTACATCAACACATGATCACATCTAAAATGAAATGTTCTGAAAACTAAGAAGTGGTATTACTATTATTACAGCATCACTGTACTATTATTTAGTATTAATACTATTATTACAGTATCTGAAAAAGGTAGATGAGGCTGTTTTAAGGAAGATGTGCTGATAAAAATGGCAAAAACAGTAGCAATGAAAACAGCACACACACAGAGCACATAGGCGGTTGTGCAGCGCCCCTGCTGGAGTGCATTGGTAATAACTTTATTGCAAAAATACAAGTTCCTCGGCCCCAAGCATTTACAAATGAGTCCCAAACAGGAAAACCACTGAAATGCAGTTTCATCTTCAAGAAATCCATCTCTCTCTGGCTACAGCTAGCATTCAAAGGCTGTTATTTGTACAGACATTAATATGTACATATTTGACAATTTAGCAAGGAATTACTTTCTTCCTCAGTCAAAAGGAAAATTAGGTACATGTAAAAAACAAACAAACAAACAAAAAAAAAAAACTTGGGTTTTCCCAGTATGACTCTTTGCTGGTTCAGGAGAGTGCGTTTTGTTGCATAGCATACTCGTGCGCCACCACTGCTACATTCTGAAACATCCTTTAGATGATAAGACAGATTAAAAAAATAGTAACACGGGGTATCTTTGTGTTAGTGCCAATCTTTGGTTGAGACAAAGTTAAATAAAGTGAATGAAGTGGAAAAAAGGAATCTACCATTTTAAATCAACCACTGATCATTTCTTTTTCAATGCAAAAATAATACATATCACAATAAGATTAAGAATGTGTTAGATAATCAAACTACTATGTGATCAATCTCGGTTACAATATGTCAATAATTATTTATTTGTATGTATAACCATATGCTTAGAGCATAAACTAGTCCTTCATGTGCAAAATGCTCATAAATTGTTCATAAAGTTATTTTGATTTCATTTAGTAGCTTTTATGGCCAAACACTACTTAACTAGTTTGGCTTATAAGGTGACCTTTCAAATGCTGATTTCTAAAGCAAGGTTCCAAAGACATGTAAAACTACATGGAATGACTATGTCCCTTCCATAGGCCAGAAGTACCGACTACTTTCTGTTACCTTTCAAATGCATGTCTCAGCCTCATAGCTACGTTATCAGTGTCACTGCAGGTTACAAAAGAAATAAAAAGAAAGCTTAACTTGGCATATCTCCCTGTACAAATGGGAGAACTGTCAATAGAATTAAAATAGCAGTTGACTCCAGCTTTACACTTCTGAAGTGTACTATACTCGTCTTAATGCAGATAATTAGAACCACTAAAATTTATTAACATTCCATAACGTCATAACACAGAGTTTCTCCATTCCTCTGGATATTTCTTAAGTATTTCGTACTTTCACAATAAATTCATTTATTAGTGTATATTCAGTCACAACAAGTAAAGCAGTCTTTGCCTGTAACACTAGACATAAAACAGGTATGTGCTACAGGGAATGCCCATACAAGAGGAAGAAAAGGTTAAGTTAGTCCCGTCCACGCTCCACGCCAGGGCTGCACACGCACATGCCTGCTCTGACAGAGCACCAGAGCTGAGAGATAAAGACATACAAAAAAGTACAGCTCCTTTCCATTTTGCTCTTTTTACAGGGTCTATTAAGTAAGTACTTAGTTGATAAATCAGTACAAGCTATACACTACTTACCCATCACCCTACAAAATAGAAGTTTCTTTCTAAAACAACAGAGTGGAAGAAAAGAAAAGAATCATCTGAAAAGGACTGAATGGGCTATGCAGGGTTTTGTAGGGCAGAGACCAGAGTGATGTCTTGTTTCTGTTTTTTTTTCATTGGAGAATGATGAGGACATGCCCCCCCACCCAAAACACACACACACACACACACATCCGCACACTCACCCACTCATGTTAATCATGTCTGCTATGATGAGGCTAAATGGAACTCACCAATATTAAAAAGTTAGCCACAATGCCACTGGCTCTCGCTGGCTCTGCAGCTCCACACAGCGCGTTTAATTAAGTTAAGTGCTCGGGGTGGGACGGCCCGCTGCGGGAGGTTTCTGAGTTTCGGAGCCTTTCCTGTACCACAGCATGCTGTTAGCCTGACCCCTGCTAATGACACACACACACTCTATCAGGCTATCCGACACCGCACTGACAGATGAAAGAGTTCGGCTCTGTTCCTTCCTTCGCCATGCTGTGGGGGCAGAGCAGCCAGCATTGGCCAGGAGGGGAAAGCTTTTTAACACACCGCTGTGCAGGACAGAAGCAGAGGGAGAGGAACCAAAGGAGGAGGCTGTCCCAGATTCATTATGCATGACTAGGGAGAGAGGGCAGAGCAGCCCACCAAAAAAAAAAAAAATTAAAAAGACAGCAGCAAGGAAGACACAGGAGTAATAGAGATGATAGGAGCCCATCATTTTGACCTGCAAAGCAGTAATGGAGCTGTAGCTGTGGCTTGTGTGATCAGGGGTACATTCCTCCAGGACTGCTGCTAATTCTCCAAGGGTTTAGTGTAGCGAGGAGCTGGGGGAGTAGTAGACCCCCTTTGGGCCTGGGAGAAGATTGCAGGGATGGTGTAGATGCGGCTGGGGAGGAGCTTCAGTCCTGGAGGACTTGGCCTGTCCCGTTCCCGTCGTTGGCCAGTCCAGTGCTGATAGACTGTCCCAGGGGCGAAGAAGTCTGGCCCCCAAGGATGTCGTGGCCCAGGACACCCGTGACATTTGGCTGCCACGGTTCAGTGATGGACCGTAGCGCTGCCTGCCGGAGAGAGCTTGACGCCGGTCAAACACAGCCAGAAGCTCGGGGACCCTCTGGACACGTCCTGCAGGGGGAGGGACGGTGGAGTGTGAAGGACAGGATCCAAATCAATCCAAAAAAACACAACAAAAGCATAATTCCTTTCACGGCCATACACAACATAAACAAATAAGCGAAATGAAAAAGAGGCACACCGTAAAATAGACACTTTTGGAGAAGATAGTGCTGGGTGGTATCATGAAAATTCAATATCTAAATATTTTCTGAATACATCACAGTATCACGGTATCAAAAAACATTTGAGTCTGCATTAGTAAAGTTAATGAGCCCAAGCTTTCTGAGCACAGATGCTCTATTAAAAGAATGTCTTAGAAACTTGACATAGCTTGTTTTGTTCAGTGCTGCTTCTCTTAAAATAATGTTGTAGGTAGCCTTATGCAGCATTATAAATTTAACTAGTTAACCAGATTTTTAGAAAATAATCTTGATATTTATGTTGCTTTTATGTATGTTCAAAACAAACTAAACTCAGGTAATGGCGTTTGGTTTAATCCATCAATACCACTGAAACTAAAAATTGTCTATATCTGTACACCAATACCAGTATACCAGTATATATGACATATCGCCCAGCACTAGGACAAGACTGCTGGCACCCAGGCCCAAAGCAAGAACATGAACGGTAGAAAGCTGAAAGCAGCAGGAGTGGTACATAAATGGTTTCGTAGCTTTTGAAGCTCATGAAGGTGGAGGGCTGGGGCCAGTTTTACCTGCGACATCCACACAAAGCCCAGGCTGCTGGGGGACAGGCAGTGGAGAGGCAGAAGGATGCAGATGGTGCGGATGGAAGGCATGATGGGCTGATGGACACACAGGAGGATTATGTGAGTAAGAAAACTGAGGGGAAATGTGACATGATGTGACCATGGTATCCCCCAGCTTTGCATTCAAAGCATACACACATGCAAGCAGCCATAAATAAGAGAGAGAAAAAAGAGAGAGAAGGGAAGGGAAGAGAGGGAGAGAGGGGGAGTTAAAACTTCAACACATGGAAAGGACCTGTCTTCATTAAGACATACTTTAGGCATGAGCAGACCCTGGGCTCGTTCCAATTGACAGTTACAGCAAGTGGACACAGGATGGCAGTATGACTCAGCGAGATGGTGATCAGTGGAAGGTGCTGACAGAGTGTGTGTGTATGTGTGTTTGTGTGTGATGAGGCAGCGGATGGAAAGCTCATACTGTCTACCGATTAGTCACAGTATGTACTCAGTACCAGCCGAGTCAAACAATGCTGGATGCTGTTGAGAGTGAGATATGCAATAGTGGGGACCAAATCGTCATATTAAAAAAAGAATTCATATCATTTTCAGTTGTCATGTGAAAATGTCACAACTCACCAACTACGAAAACTTGCATGACTGCAGGAAATTTAATCTATCAGTCATCACAGCAGGTACTTTAACCCTCTATTGCATAAAGTTGCCTTAGGGTAACAAACCCATTTTCCTCTCTTTACAATGACTTGATGCATGTTGAATGACAATGAAAGGGTTAATAATGAAGGGAAAAGTTTGAACTAACTAAATGCTTATATTTAATCACACAATTTCTTGATGGGCGTTTTAAACCCCTTTTTTGGCAAGGTGCAGCTTCTGCATGACAATTACGTACTAGACAATTTCTATTAGAAAAACAGGTTTTCATGTTTCATCCATTCAGAAACATGAGTTGAATCTGTTACGATTCACAGTGGGAAGTTCATTTTTTTAAACTCTGTATCCAATACATAATTTTGTGTAACAGTGGAATAAATTTACCCAATAGCAAACAAAGTGTCATTTATGCAGCTACGTCAGAGAACACTGCAGCTGTTGTTTAATTTTCATTCAGAATTACAATTTTATTGTTGTGTTTTTGTTTATTTAGGAAATCTAGCTTATTTAGCATTAATGCCCAGTCAGTTAGCCCATTCCGGTCAGATTTTAATGATCAAGTCTATTTTGCGCAAGAAAAATTAATCAAATGTTTTTTTAAATTGCTCTTATAATGCGTATATGTGATAGAGGGTTATGTGTTGGACATATAAACTGATTTTTTGCACCGATCAGGAATCTTTACAGGCATTTGACCACTCAAGAATAACCGCTTCTGCGTATGTGTTTATTTTTGTTGAGGAGTTTAGTCACTGCTTTAGCGCGACACGTTTGTCCTTTGAAAAACAGTCTGAAAGTCTGAAAACACTTGTCATTTAATAATCCTTGTAATTTTTTTTTATAATGTAATAATTTGTGCAGTGTGGATTTAAATATAATAAAATAGATATCAAAAGGTACCTTTGTTTTATTCACTTCATGTTGGGAAGAAAAAGAAGTTTATTAACTGATAAATAATATATTGTTAATTAATGTAATTTTTGTCTAATTATCTGCCTCAAGTTTTGATCACCACTTGAAACAGAGACATTCTGGATATTCATTTATAAATCTGAACTTCTCACTCATTTTAGAATTATACACATGTGATGTACGGCTTTTTTCATTAATCCAGATAGATTTTTCTTTTCTTTCGCTAGCTTCCTACTAAGTATTTTAAACCTGTGAACAGGACTAGCACATTAGAATCATTTTATACAATTAGTGCAATTAAATTTGATTTCATATTATTGAAAACACTGACTCCAAACTTTTGAATGGCAGTGTAGGTACAGTATATGAAGGTGTGTAAGTGTGATGAAGCAAAGCTGCGCAGTGATTGACAGGGAACAGCCAGCACACATGGATCAGGCTAAAGTGGGAGTAGGTGTGCGTTTGCGGTCAGTCTCATGCGGCAGTGGCAGCATTGCGGTCAGATTTCTGGGGCACATATTCAATTCCCCCCCCACCCTCCCTTAGTACTTCTGCTAGCCCATCACCACCAGGCCCATTTTAGCTCCGGTGCTAACCTCCTCTTTATCTTTGCCATTAATGAGCTACTCTAAGTCCAGGCTTCAAAGGCTAGAGCTGAGCTACTCTAATGAACAGGCTGCGGTTCAATTCCTAGTAGACAGTTCCAATTAGTGGTGGTGAATGTTTCATATGTGAGGTGACTTATGTGGAACATAAATTAAGGATTCAGGTTTGTTATACTGAGCGTATGTGTGAGAGAGAGAGACCGTGGTACTTACAAAGCTGCGGGAGACAGCAAGGCGGTCCTGCCGTCGTCCAATGGTGGTCCCGCTCAGGCTACGAGCAATGTGGCGCAGGTGGTCAGCATCATACTGCTCCTGATCTGCCACTGAGGGTGGCTACAAAGAACAAACAGAGTAAACATACACAACAACCACACAGAGATATTACATTAAAGGTTCCATATTCAACATTTTCCCCCTAAGGTCCACTTGTAACATTTGTGTGGTTATATTTGCCAACAGTCAAAATGAAGATTTACATGACCATTTATCAAATGTCTCTTCATCCCAGAAAATTAAATAAGGTGTTTCTATTACTGTGCCTTTGAGACTGAGATATGTAAAAGGCCTCTTTTCTGATTGGCTGTCTCGTCTTGTGCCTCATTCAAAAAGCAGTCCTGGCCAAAATGTATGGAATGAACTGTTATGACTAAAATCTTCAGAGAGATGAGAGCCACTCATTTCACGTGTCTGCATACTTTGAAAGGCTATGCAAGGATTCATTCTCTGCCATAAAGCCAAGAACAGCAAAATATTTAACTGTATCTCCCATATCCTCTGCTATAACATCTCTGCTACAGTCTCTCTACAGCTACAACACTTCTTGTATCATCAGTGTGAAAGGGCGTGCTAGACAGCTGTAGGCTGTATGGAGACACCTATGTACAGGCAGCTCCATAATTATTGGGAGGTTTGGTAATGATATGTAAAAAAGGTAATGAAAAAATGGCTAATTAGCTCAATTTCACACTGAAAATATCACTTTGCCAACATTACAGCAATGAGTGTTCTCCTACTATACTTGATGAGATTGGAGAAAACAGACTAAGGACTCCAAGCAGGATCTCTCTAGTTACTTCAGGGTCCTAGGTCTTCTCTTTTGGACCCTTCAGCTCACTCTGCAGGTTGTTGAGTGGAGTTTAGGTCTTGGGAATGTGATGGCCATGTCAAAAGCTTGATTCTGTGGCCATTTAACTATTTTTGTATGGATTTTGGATCACTGTCCTGCTGGAAGATCCAACCATGCTCCTTGGAGATATGCCTCCTCACTGTGCATGGAGGCAAAATACAGCTGTGCCCTGTTAGAGACAGATTCACTACAGCTCCAGCTGTTTTCAACTCCTTAATTATTGCCTGATTTATAAAGGTCAGCACATTTCTGTCACATTTCATTTGTATATTTTCTAATCCTCTCCATGCTGATGAATGACTAAATGAAATTTGATCTCTTTATCACCTTGTATTTATAAGAGAAAGTCATGAACTCTCCAAAAAAGGTACTAAACTGTCAATGGGGTGGTACAAAGGTACATCTTCATTACCTTCAGCACCTTTAGTTGGGGAACAATACCATACCACAACCCTTTGCAATTATGTTATCTATCTTGCCTTGTCTTTATCCTTTTTATTTTACATTATGTTAGGTTATGAAAAGGTACAAATATGTACTTTCCCCTGCGAAAAACATATTTAAAGTACCCAGGTGGACCTCAAAACCATTGTTGTAGCTTTGAGGGTACATTTACATTGTCTGCATCTTGATGAATGAAAAATGTACCTGCACAGTACCCTTTTTTCTGACAGTGTGGATGGACTTAAAAAAATAAATGTAAATGTGAATGCTTCAGTTACATATTGTTAATAAGAATTTCAAGGGGTGGCAAAAATTGTGATGTGTGGTTTTGTTAAAAGTATATTGGATGAGGGTTTTTATATTCTTAGACTAAAATTATTTCAATTAAAAGTTTTTTTTCTCATTTTGTCAAACAATTAACCTGGCAAAAGAAGCTTTATTTCTTCATGACAAAAAAAGACATTTTTGTTATAAATCTTTTTTCTGCATCTTTAACAAGGGTATCAATAATCATGGAGCTAACTGTAAATGTGTTCATGTTATGTGTCATCAAATGTTTGACATCACAACCATGATGACCTCAAAACACTTAGCTTACACACATGGACTGTATGGACTGTGGAGACAATGATATGTCTTAATAATTTTAACATTGTTTAGATACTATTATCTTGTTTTAAAAAAAGGAAAATTTGGTCTTCCCTGATAGTGCCCCTTTAATAAACACATACATTACTTTATTCATCAGTGCGCAAATGATACGAAACAAAGAATATGTGAAACTCTCAGAGATAAAAAGATACAAAGACAGTTATAAAAAATTACAGAAAGACACAGCAAAGAGTGGCCAAACAGGAGGCAAACGCATCAAGCACCGATAGCCACAGCTTCAAACCAGCTGAGAAACAAACTTTCTCAGAGTCAATTCTGCAAAAGATAGTAACCCATAAAGCTAAACAGAAATAAACATAGTGAACAAATTCTGTAACTATGCCTTTAAGACAGTTATTTTATAAATGACCCCAGTGCTCAAGAGACTTTTAAAAATGTCCTTCAGTGAATTAAACTTAATAAATACACACTTAATATCAGAAGCAGCTCCCACACATATTTGCATGCAAACCCACTGGACATAGCATTATTATCTGTGAATTTCTCACCATATTCAGGTGTGCAGTGGGACTGCGACAGCCTGGTGGTCCAAATGCAGTTCTCTCCAGCTCAGCTGTGGGGGTCCGCGAGCGCCCCACCCCAGAGAGCAGCTTCCGCGCCGCAGGAGGAACTGTGCAAGGCAAGCAAATAATAGTACACGCATGATCCTTTGTGTACTTTGGTACCCTAAGTTTGATTAAGAAATCTCAAACAGACTTGCTTGGTGATTTCTGACACTGACTTAAATGAAGAAGTGTTGCATAGATAAAAGCAGTACTAGCAGCCTGAATGGTGTCTGTTATTCTGTTCATTTTTATAGATAACGTATGTCATATAGGATCAGAAAACCAAGAAAAAAAACACCATGTCTTGGCAAGTACTTCTAGAGTAAAAGGAAGACTGTAGATTTTTAACAAAATTATCACTTAAGGATGGTAAATCTGTAATGTCATGTTAAAAATGTATGGTCAGTATACCTGGTTTCCCTGAGGCTGGAGAGCTGGCTCTCTGCAGGGCTCGGCTCGGGCCATGGCCTGCCTGCAGACTGGCCTGGTACAGTGAGTCCAGCTCAGAAAGCTCCTGGTCTTCAGCCTCCAGGTTTAGGTCCCGCTGGGAGAAAGGGTGCTTGAGGATGCTCTTGTTCCTCAGTGGGGGGCTGCATGGAGGAATGTGCCATCCAGGAGAGTGTTGAGAGGATGTGACGAGGTGGCTCTGATCTGGTGGTGTCTCATGGGGAGTGACCACAGCATCAGGGCGGTCCAGGCTCCAAGAAGACCAATGACGAGCTGGAGCAGCAGCAGGGGCCTGCCTGGAGCTAGAGTGGGATGGAACAGACGAGTGGGGTAAGGGTGGGTTGCGTAAGGGCTGCCATATCGGGGCTCGGGGATGCTCCTGTCCTGTCTCAGGCTGGGAAGATGCAGACTGTGGGTTGGATGCTACCCTTGGATGGGAGCTCCAGTCTGGGCTATGAGAGGTGCTCCTCCACAGTGGTGGGGCAGGGGAGGAAGAAGGAGAGGAGGAAGGTGGAGGTGGGGGCTGCTGCTGCTGGGACATCTCTCTATCCTCACCCAAAAGCCCCCAGAAGTCTAGAGGCAGAGAGGGCAGGGAGATGGCCAAGTGTTTCCGGATGGGCCTGATCCGCACCCCTGAGGCCTGCAGAACATCTGACAATCTAATGCCCCCCCATTCCTCCTCTTTCTGCAATGACCAGTCACTGCTTTGGGTGGGGTCTTGAGGGCGTGTGTGAGGTGCAGAAGGGTGGGGACCGCCAAGCGATGGGCAGTTCAACGCAGAGAGCAAATTAGAGGGGGGCGGCTTCATCTGGGCAGGAGGTGGCAGGCCGAGGGCAGCGTCCTGACTGGCTTCCCACACCTCTTCTGGATTGTCTGTCAGCAGTATTTGGACCGGGCCAGGCTGTTCACTGCAAAAAGAGGGCTGTGGTCAGACTCCTGAGAAAATACTGTTGCCTCAAGTCGAACTTTAAAATTAATTCAAGCACAAAGGCTGCATTCTGTAAGATTCTAAGCAGTGGCCTTTACACTGACCACTAAAGGCTTTGGAGACACCTGACTTTTCAAACTGTTTTTTACAATTTAGTATGTTTACGAATTCACATTGCATGTTTACTTTGTTGGTTTGCAATGCTAACATATTATCCACTTTAATTCAGATTTACTAAGGAGTACATAAAACCTGCAGGCAGCTCTAGTTTATGACTGATTTACTAAATGACATCACACGCAAACTAAACTGAACTCACTTGAATTATGGAGGCGCTAAGACACAAATCCACACAGACTGCATTACAGCCAGCCAAAGACATTCAAAGGTGAAAATCTCTAAAAGAACTGGAAGTTCTGATAGAGGAGGTGACTTTGGGAAAATCAGTGTGAAGAAAATAACAATTAAACTCACTAAAACAAACACAGATGAACGATGTGCAATTTTTTAGTTGTCTTTTGACTTTTTTTATTAAAACATTATAATTTATATGTGCTGCCTACAGATTACATATGTACTCCCTATAATGCCTCACTCTAATGATCATACTGGGTAACAACAAATCTGTCTTTTCTCTATTTTCAGTTTTTGCACCTCCTTCTCCTTGCCCTTAAAAACACAAAATGTTTCCAGTCAGTTCACATTAGTAAATCACTTGTGGTGGTTAATTTGTTCAATGTCCTCCCCTATTTTTATGCATGCCCTAAAATACATATTCATGAATTCAGGTGTGCTAAAAACTGAAGCTCAGTTGGGCCCTTGTGTGCATGTGCAGAAAGGGCTTCAGTACACACAGTGGTAAATCAGCTGTGCTTTTGCATGTGCAAAATGCATTAAAGCCACTGCAAACGTTTAGCAAATCTGGCCTTAAGAAGGTTTAATTAGATCAAAAGAATATCACATATAAATATTTGTGACAATATCAGCGACAGTGCTGTAGGACAGTACCAAACCTCACATATTACGTTGTCTTGTTGTGATTCATTAGCAATCAAAGCTTTCAGCTGTTTAAACCAGTCATGAGGCAAAAGATTTTTAATTTGAGCTTTTAACAGCAAAACTTGCTGTTCATACCAAAGAAGACACTTGGATGAATACAAAGCTGGGCAGTGCAAATCACACCCAAAGTTTTAGTGAAGAGCTGTTTTATGATAATAAAAACTTGCCAGGTATTTTTTCCATACCTCATTAAAAATAAACAGCGAAAATCAAAAATCTTCCCCAAACTTCAGTGCATTTTATACTGATTGGTGATGGTCAGGATCAGTAAGTATTATTCTAAAGGACAATATTTTAAAGTGATAAAAAACTAAATATAGAAAATTATCTTACAAAATGCAGCCTTTAAACCATACCAAACAAACACATAATTCTTTTAACTTTCCATCATCCTGGAAATTTAGAACACACTTAACATTTGTAGGATATATTCATAATTAGCATGCTGTAATCCCTTTTAGACCTTGATGTGAAAAGGGTCACTGATGAAACCCATTTTCCCATACTAGTTTACTGTAATAAGAATGCTTTCAAGGGCACTTTAAAAGGCGCAATGTCATCAAGAGACCAAGCTGAAGGAGATTCAGGTCAGTTTCTCCTCTAGTCATGAACTACTTTTCATACAACATGCACATAGAAACACACGTACCCACACACACTTACACAGTCTAACTCCATGTGCCTTCAGCACTTGATTCACTGTATGACCTTGACATCATTTTCAGAGCCATTGCATAAACCAGAAGAGTTACAGTAGCAATAAATAAGCCCATAAGCTCCATTTAACATGATTTTATTAAACAGTCTCTAAATTCAGCCCCAAAACAGGAGTGCAGGACATTCATCTGCACTCCCATCCTGCACCGCTACCCACAAAATGGCCTGCAGTACATAATTGCCATATACGTCTTCATCTAATACGAGATTGAGATGAAAGGACTCAGCAACACCAGCAGATCCAAACACAGGAACTCTTCACAATCGTGATTTTTTTTCTGACTATTGCACGATGTATTGAAAGTTGAATGCTTTTCATTATTCATTCAAATTCTGTATACTAATTAGACTTAGATTTAATGGCCAAAGACCTATTCAGTAATATGTGACCTCCTAGAAACAATCAACAAAGGGTATAACCTTGATTTAAACAGAGTGTAATGAATGGTAGGTTATACTGTAGAATCTATTGTCCTTATCTCACTCTTCATCTTACAATTACAAGATGCTGAATAACCGTAATTACATTATTTTGTTACTTATTTGATTCGTAAACAATTTTAGAGCTTTGCACTGAAAGAGACTAAATTTGCTGTGTTCAGCCAACAATAAATGTTCTGTCATATCATTCTGAGTTATGTGAACTGTGACACACTTGGTATCTGTATAAGTCAAAATTGTAGCAGTAGGGAACCCTCAGGGCCTTCTGCGCCTACAGAGAAAGCCTAATGATTTCAGTGAAATAAAAATTACATGTCTGTAATGTTTGGTTCTGTTTTGTTTAGTAGAATCGTCATGCTTGGTGTTATTATGCAAGTATTGTAGTAACACTCTTATTTCATTGTTAAGTTTTGGAAATAAAAAGGTTTAAATTCTTGAAAAGGTTGCCAGGAAATTGGCCACTCACGTTTTTTTTTCACGTTTTTTTTCTCTGCGGTATACACATGGATACAGCCAAGCTAGCACTTTTACAGGTTAGGACTTCAGGAGCTGAACTGAAGGCCTTACACATTAGATTAACTACCAAGATAATCAGCAAGTTACAGTGGAATCAACCAACCATGTTTTGATTTCCAAAGGGTAGGACCAAGTTAATAAGAAAAGACATCGTTCAAGGCCTTTTGGAAGTCCTAGATATGTCACTGACTGTGAGGAGTCTAACCAATGCGTTTTAGTCAGAAATGGAAAACAGCAGCAGCTCTATACCAGGGAAGTCACTAAAGGAAACATTGTAAAACTGCTGCATGCAAGGTAAAATATATGTTAATGTCTGTTACAGTCTTCAAATACAGGCTTTACATGCTTCAAATGTCTAGAACGGCCAAAAAATGTTAATGTGCATCACTACTAAGTTACTTCTAAAATCTCCTGGGGTGCTTGCAGAAATTAGTGTTACTGACATATTTTTAACCCCCCTTTCAACAGACATTTATGACCCAAACTAAAGGACTAATCCTGAGAGTCACAGTTCTCCACTGAACCCTTTCCCATCATCATCAGTCAAAACGCATTTAATGTTGACTGTATGTGCATAATGTTAGTAAGATATGCATACATTTATATCCCTATATGAAGACCCATTTTCCTCTGTGAGAGAAAGACAAAGGAGCATGACAAAGATGAACAGCCATAATCCCATTGAAGCAAGCAAAGGACATCCATTCAGAAGTGTGCTAGTGGACTATGAGGGCGGCGCCTGCTGTCCGCACGCTCCATAGCATGTGGAAAGCGGGAGTTGATGGGGGAAGTTGGGAAGTATGAGAGTAAACATTCCTGATGAATGTGCTAGCGCACTGGCTCCCTGTAAATACTCCTCAAGCAGCACGTTAGGTAATTACCCAGGGGGCTTCAGTCAGGTCAGGCCATACATCACATGAGCACTTCTAATCGATTGTGAGGAATGAGAAAGGAAAAAAGTGAGGAGCAAAATAACCGCAATCCATTGACCAAACTGCAGCGCCCCCCCAACTGCCTGCAGCCCCAGTTCTCCTGTCCAGGGACTACACCTGACAAGAGTGCCAGCAAGCACAGTTCCTTAAGTACAGAGCTAGAGTGAAAGCAGTCTCTGAACAAAAAGTGATGCGCTGTCCTCTGGCTTGGCTGTGTTTGCAACGTGGGTGGCTGACCTCTACTTATAGCTTATAGACTTCATCACACATGTTTACCTTTATCTTACGTAGGTAATATCTTAAAAAAAAAGCCATAAAAGAGATGAAGAAGCAAACTCATCTCACACTCATTAGTAAAATGTAATGTAATCACAAAGGATAATTTTAGCCATTTTTACCAGATGTTACTAATCTCTATTGAGGATTTAAAGGGACATTCCAGGGTCAAGGGACAAAATGAAACATAAACCCATGCTACATCCGATTTAAATATGCTTACTCACATCCTACAGTTGTGCCACAGTAGTCTCGTTCACAGAGATTTTCTAGTTTAAATACTCAGAACACCCTCTTTTGATGGGAGGAAGGTGGAAGAACCTTTTGAAACTCTGCAATTGCTTTGGGGTGGATTTCTGGATTTTCGGGGAGCTGTTTTTTTTTAGCTGGTGAATGCAGAAGGATAGCTAATGTGACTTATTGCAGCTGTATAACTGTAGTAACTGTACTAGTGGAGAGAATGGATTACTTAAACAACAGAAATGACATGATCAGATGAGAAATGCAATGAGCTAAAAGATAAAGTTAGCAAGCCAAGATAGCGAGCGTATATCGGTCTGCTGGCTTGATAAGGTAGGCCCCCCACTGACTGTTTGCCACTGCTGATCCACCCTCGGACCACCCAGATTACTGTCCTGCATACACCTAAGAGGTTTAAAATGCACAGAGACTTTTATTTAGGAAAATAAACTAAGACAAATATTACAAACTACTGAGAGAAAAAATGAATGACTAGGCCTGATAAAAATGATTTTATAGAAAATGCTGTTGCTGACACTGTACTGGATTAAAATTATTTACTAAACTAATTTACAAAGTATAACTAAAGAAAGGAAGGAAGAAAAAATAAGTAAATTGGACTGGATTGGAGTGGAAAATGAGCAATGATAAGTGGAATTTTGTCTAATATTCTGCTTAACCACTCGTGGACCTCCTGGAAAACACTGAGCAAAACACCAGTGGACCGCCAGCTTTGCCATCAGCAGGCCAACAGTGGTCCACTATCTACCTGCTATCAAGGAGGTAACTGGCTATCTAG